ACAACTGACGTGACTGACTTTTATCAGGACCTTTCGTTGTTACACAAACAAAGGGGAAGGGTGCTGAAGGATTCATGGAATTAGTTAATGTAGGATTGACGGACGGGAAAGTACCAGGAGCACATATGGCACATGCATGAACAAGGACTGCTAGCGATTCCATATTCACAGTTGGAGCATTTGAGTTATAAGCATATAAGGAAGCAGGCTGCATTAATTCCTTGATAGCACCAAAAGCTGCCAATATACCAGATTCTGCAGTTGCATGTTTACACTCTTCAGATATAAATTATGAAGATTGTACTGCTTTAATGAATGATGATAAAAGTTTCGATAATCGAATCGCAAAGCCATTTAATGATTCACTTGACATAGGTGTTGCAATCACTATTTCCTTAAGGATGATATACGGATCAGAATCTGTCACTGGTACAAGAAAAGAATGGATCAAATTCTCATACTCTAACCACTTAGTAAAAGTCTCAGAGTCACGCACGGTAAGAAGGTTAACGATGTTTACAGCAGACTGAGAACTGGCAAGACTTCCTAACTCTAGAACGGATGGCAATAAACTATGCTTCAAGATTATTTAGCTTGCCATAGAATAAATGCAAAGCATCGAGAGAGTCACGTGAAAAACTAAATTGTCTCGGAGTCAGATGTGGTCTATCAGTCGGTAAGGGACCATTAGGATTTTGCACAGGTACAACAATGGCCTGACCGACGTTATTCGCTGAGACATTGATGGCATTGCTCAAAGATAGTTGAGACATGATTTCTGAGAACTTATACGAAGACAATGAAAGCAAAGAATAATGAAATAAAAGTGTATGACACAAAATTTACTTAAATTAAAATTAAAGATGCTTAACTAACTCTGCATAAATAAAAAATATAAGACACAATGAATGAGAAAAAAAAAAAACTCACTGAAATTTTCTTGGTAAAGATACTGTAACTTTTTTTTTTTAATTAATTTCAAAAGTGAGTTAACTTTACTCTCAATTTAATAAAGGGACTTTGCTAATAAAATTGTAGAGCAAGGAAAAAATAATAAAATAAAATCAATAAATTGTATGCAAATGCAAATATGCTGGGAAAATAATTTTTCTAAAGATAACACGAAAACAAAAAATATTATGCAATGATGAACGCAAAATAAAATAAGATAAAAAACAAGACAGTCTATTAGTAATATATTGAGAACATTGCACTGGATTATCTTTTGAAAATACTTATTAATTACTGAAAAATCAGAACATAGAAATAACAGAGTACAAATGCAGGACAAACAAATTGCACAATTAAAATAATTTGCAAAATTAGTCAAAGTATCAATAAAAATTGCACACACAAAAAAATATAGCTTAGAAAGATTATAACACATCAAGAAATAACTGGTTTGAACATTTAAGTGTTAATCTCAAGTAAGCAAAACAAATTACTTAAAAAAGAGCAATGATAAAACTTAAGGAATTATACTAAGAGTGAATTTGTTCAAAGAATTATCAGTGATACAAGATACAGAACTGGGAATTAAACACTTACAAAGCTGCAGATAAAACATCAATGTTCCCTCACTACACTTATTGTGTAAATTTTCGTGGACTACGGTCATGCTTTGAAAAAATAAATTAGTTAATTGTCATGCTTGGCATGCAAGAAATGGCACTACGGCTGCGAATGTTGAAACGAATGAGACGCTGCATATATAAAATAATTAACACAAAAATAATGGCACACAGGAAGAAAATGGTAATTTAGCAAACTAGAGAAAGAGTAATTAATGAAACAACACACAGAATTAGCAGAAAAACACAGGAAAATACAATGGAAACATGTCAAAACACAAGAAAAATAATAGTACATAATAATGAGATAAGACAGATTTCACAACACTTAAAGAACACAAATGGTAAACATATACAGTTCACAAGGAGTGAATGATTGATAAATTAAAAAAAAATACTCCACACAACAGACAAATAATATTAAAACGTGTACAAGAGAAAATATTACTTCAGGTTGGAGAGAATTGGAAATAATAACAAACATTTAAAAAATTCAACTCAAAAATGAGCGATAACACGGCAGTGGGAAATATTTTGAGATCGAGTCACATGTAACACACGGAAGTTAAGAACAAAAATGTACACTAGGACACAAGAGTTTCTAACAACAAAAATCACTGTACATACGGGAAATGTCTCGACACACGTAAATGTATATATAAATGGGTCTTGACACACTCACACGTAGTGACCAGTGAAGAGGCGGGGCTAGGAGCTATGGATCGACTCCTGCAACCACAATTATTTGAGTACATACACACACACACACACACACACACACACACACACACACACACACACACACACACACACACACACACACATAATTGTTCAAGACAGTACAGCGTGTACGACAGGCCCATACTGGAGTACGCAGCACCAGTTTGGAACCCACACCTGGTCAAGGACATCAAGAAATTAGAGAAAGTGTTAAGGTTAACAACAAGACTAGTCCCGAAGCTAAGGGGAATGTCCTAGGAGAAGAGGTTTAGGGAAATCGACCAGACAACAATGGAGGACAGGAAAGACAGGGACAACATGATAACGACTTATAAAATACTGAGAGGAGGTGTGACTAAGAAGGTGGATAGGGACAGGTTGTTTGATAGATGGGACACAGCATCAAGGTGTTACAATTAGAAGTTGAAAACTCAGATGAGCCACATGATGTGAGAACTTTTTCTCAGTCATACAGTTGTCAGGAAGTGAAACAGTCTGGAGAGTGATGTAGTGGAGGCAGGGTCCATACATAGCTTTAAGAAGAGGTATGGTAAAGCTCTAGACCAGAGAGATTGGACCTAGTAGGGACCAGTGAAGAGGCGGGGCCAGGAGCTATGAATCGACGCATGCAGTCACATTTAGGTGAGAATTAGGCGAGTACACACACACACACACACACACGAGCTATGAATCGACCCCTACAACTACAAATAAATGAGTACATACACACCCACACACATGTTCATTCTGTGACAGGCATTTCGCGTTTCGTCTACTAAAAGCCTCTGTACAGTGACATATTCATTCACTGGTTTTTCTTATCATTATCCTGTTAAGAAGAGTATTCTTGTTAATCTCGGTGCTCCTCGCAACTGTGATTTTCAATTTCTCGACTGTAAAATTGAAACAGTTATCAGGTCATTCTCCCGTCTAAGCTGCCCTTCCAGTTTCATAAACTCTGCCTACTCCCATGCTAAACGGAGTTTCTTTTCTCGTCAACATGACTCAAGAAATCGTAATGACACGATTGCAAATAAACCATACCCCCGGCCGGGATTGAACCCGCGGTCATAGAGTCTCAAAACTCCAGCCCGTCGCGTTAGCCACTAGACCAGCTAGTTGGATGAATCTTATTGTGGCTAGCTGGTCTAGTGGCTAACGCGACGGGCTGGAGTTTTGAGACTCTATGACCGCGGGTTCAATCCCGGCCGGGGGTATGGTTTCTTTTCTCCTAAACCCATTACTTCAGCAAACCCCTCTTGTACTTTGCCTTCCCTATATTTCTGTTTCAAAATCTTATTAACATCCACCCTCCTCTAGATATCAAGCTTGCATTTCACCAGATTAATATACTTCGTAACAGTCTAGTTCATACCACTGTTAATGGTATTTTCTGTGTCTGTTTCATTTCCTGCTTCAGCTACCACCTTCAATACCTTGGTAAAAATGGCCGCTCTCTTAATGATAGCCTAATAGAACACAAAACAATGTTCACATTACTGACACTAACAACGTTCTTTACCCTAATGGTACAGCTCATAACCATCCATATACTAAATAGTAAACCTATCTACTCTTTTAGCCTTTACAGACGTCGTCTTGTTCACTCGGCCCATATTCACATTCCAAACACGAATAATAGTCCCTTTTAAGTTTCAATAGATACATATTTTTCTCAATTCTTTTGTTAGATGTTTTAATATTCAGAACACTTATGACTTAAACTGACCTTTGCCTTCTCTCCCTCTGCGAGGTTATGGCACAATAACTTGCTATCAACATCACCTACCAGGATAAACACCAACAAACCTGATGTGCTTAAATACATATTTGCAAAGGAATAGGAAGAAGAGGCAAGAGGAGCACATTTTATTTTAAATACTGAGGTGACACTTCACTCAAAGCTGACATTTCTCCCAGCTAGGTGATACCTAACTCAGTCAGGCAAAATACGCTGTAGGAGACCTACTGGTAAATGTACCCAATTTCAATGACGTCTACTTGTCCGCACTTTTAATAATAATGGTAAAGGTTGTCCAATACGATGGTAAATTGCAGATAATTCAAACCTCTAAATAGATAAGCAAGAAAATCGTGTATAGGCAATTCAAATTAAACATATCAGGCTATAAGCTAATAAAAAAGAAAAAAGGAACATTGCAGTAGGCTCACTCCATGAATGTGGCTCCAAAATCCTTTCCACACACACATTTATTCGAGAGGAGTTGGAAATGAATGATTGCCCAGGGCAACTGGTGTCAATTGCTGGCTGGGCAAACACTGTAAGGAAAATGCAGTAACATTCATAGACAACTGGGTCATCTTCTATGGCAGAAATGACATGTATGCCAGGCATGGGGTTCACTTATCTAGGTTTCTGGTGGGACCACTATTTAAAAAATAAATAGTGGTCCCATTAATGGAAGTAGGTCAGGCCTCGGATTTAGCGAAGAAGTTGCAGAAGATGTATCGATCTGCAGCTGTTGAAGACGTTGTCAGAAGTCAGTTGGGTGATAAATGAGATACATATATTCATCAAAGACACATGTTGAAGAACAAGCTTTTATTGACATAAAGCTTCACTCGTGTGACTTGATAAAGCTCTTCACGGAACGAAGCATAGTCTCAAGAAAAAAATATTTTTCTACGTGTGTTTTATCCGAACTTAAATTTTCAGCTAGGCTTCTGTTCATTCAAAAGCATTTCTGTAGACTTGTAATTTGATCTTTCTCGTGCCTGCAGGGAAGGAGCGAGACTACTTCGTATCCATGCATCAGGAAGTGGGCACGGAGAACAGCGTACCCTGCCTGCGTGTGAACCACTACCCGCCCGTCCTTTCTACACTGCCCGAGGGCACCACTACCCGCTTCAGTGCCCACACTGACTACACCACCTTCACATTCATCTTTCAGGATGACATGGGTGGCCTTCAGGTAGTCTCATGGATTAGAAAATATTGTCCACCGTGTCGGTACTCTGTACCCATCCATATACTTTGTTTTTATATGCAACTAATTTTATGTTGTTACATAACATGTTTATGCTCTACCAGGAAGCATTAGTTCACAAGTAGACCAAACATAGAACAGGAAAATTATCATAACATTTCGATTCGTCCTGGATTATGATTCAAGTTATGATAAAGCGAGAAATTTGCTGAGTAGACCGAGAGACAGGTTGAGAAGTAGTAGTAGTAGTAGTAGTAGTAGTAGTAGTAGTAGTAGTAGTAGTAGTAGTAGTAGTAGTAGTAGTAGTAGTAGTAGTAGTATCAGCAGCAGCAGCAGCAGCAGTAGTTGTAGTAGTATTAGTAGTAGAAGTAATAGTAGTAGTAGATGAACTAATAATTAATTAAAGAAGTGGTAGTAGTCGTAGTCGCAGTAGTAGTAGTAGTCGTGTAATTAGAGATATAGGTTGTAGTACTAGTTGTCAAAATAATAGAAGTAGTAGGAAACTTTGGTGAAATTAGTCTGCCACTTTCTGGCAAATTTAAAGAATATAACAAAAGTGCTAGACTCGCTGACAGTCATGATTCAGGAGATAACATAGTCATTGTATACAAAGGTACTCTGCTAAAAATTCTAAACTTCGTCTAGTCTTCACAAACGCCCTCTTGTTGAATGGCACCTTAAACGCTACATTCCTAACATGAATTTTTGTTTTTGTAGATGTCTGCCTTTCTCAATACGTTTGAAGAGCTCTCATTATCAGAACATTCGTGACGTGACCTAATCTCACCTTCTCTTTTGCAGTGTCTTACGTATTTTCTCCGACATTACTGTCTTCTGACTTTCTCTTTGCCTAATATTTCTAACCTTGCATAAACCAGTAGACCAATCGCTGTGCTCCTCTTTTCTGTTTTGCTTCATTATTACTGAGTCCTTTTGGGACTAGTGTTCGAGGGTTTGGTCATTTGCTTCTCCCCCATCATAACATATACAATATCCCTTTACAAACAACTGTTTTTTACTAAGGCTAGAACAACCCCCAGTCACTAATTCAGATGCTACTAATACTCCTAAAACTGCAAGAATTACTAGTACTCCTAGTACTATTATATTACTACGGCCACTACAAAATGGCCAACCAACTCTCAGGTAATGAGAAAGCGGGGAAGTGGAGATAGCGAAGAATAGCGTCGGTAGGGCAAAATTTGTAACTCTTTTGTTTACCGTCCGATTTTCTCCAGTTTTGGTGCACAAGACAAAGTGTTTTCACTCTTTCTTGAAAATATTTATCAGAAATATACCTCAAACAACAACTGAGAAAAGACTGATTTACTGAAAATGCCCTTGTGCCCAAATTTATTATATGGGACTACGTAAGGTTGTTTGGACACTTGGTGCCGAGAGAACAATGCTAACACTTATTTTCCCTATGACCTTTTCTCTAAATAACTTATCCTTATTTCACAAAAAAAAATAAAGTTTGTTAGTTCCTGGAATATTGCAAAAAAATCTGTCCTTTACTCCCACATAACTCCCAAAGTATTTGGAATATTTCCAAAAATTTCTTATTGGAAATTAGAGAAATCATTATTCTACAATTTCTGTGAATATTATTCCATTTAATTAAGTAATAAAGGAAGAATTATGGACTTTAGGTGAATAAGTTACTTGCGAGATATCGGCCGGGAGCGCCGGCCGGCCCCCGTCTCAAAAAAAAAAAAAAAAAAAAATCGCGAAAATCACGTTTGTTTGGGTGTATTTCTTAGTAAACTGATGTTCTAGTGTAGTTATCCTCTTCAAAACACCGTTTTCTCTTACTCAGAGACCAAAGAATACGACATGGAGAGGAGTAGCTCAATAATATCGAAATATTCCAAATAGTCTCGCCATATTATGGCCTATTTTATTCAGTCTAGAGTATATAACATGTTTGTATGTTATTTATAGTGTTTATTATATCATATTAGATCAATTCTGATAGACAAATAAGCCATAGAGTTGATATATAAGCATAATAATGAAGTAATTTCTCATAAAAGAGAGAAGCTTACGACGACGTTTCGGTCCGACTTGGACCATTGACTTTGTCAATGGTCCAAGTCGGACCGAAACGTCGTCGTAAGCTTCTCTCTTTTATATGCGGGTTATTTGTGTATCGCTCCAGTCACGGTATTGTGCCTTTTTTTGTTATTTAAGTAATTTCTCCTAGCACTCTCTGGAGCTGGAACACTGCCGAGCGTTCCCATATGGTTCCTGGTTGACTCTAAGTCTAGGGATAAGCTCCGCCTACTGTTTTATGATGCCAAATAGTCAGTTATTATATTAGAAAGAATAATGCAAGAAAAAGCGATAAAAAGCAAGGAAAAAAAACTCCAAAAAATATACGGGCCGTGAGCAGACTCGCTACCAATATCACCGTCACCATACCTGATATAAATTACTATAATTTCTTGTAGAAACGTCGTAGAACATTCATTCTGGTACTATTGTGTTGCCAAAGAGTTAGGCTATTTTTCGGCATATATAACTCAATTTCCATAATTTTTCGAATTTTGGGTGAGCGCACGCGGAAATTTGCCCTATAGCACCCTAAATTTAGTTGTAGCAACACAGCCAGGGTATAACCTAGCAGCGGAACTCTGGGTGACGATAAACATGAACATTCAGTATGCGACCAGCTGGTAGGAGCACTTCATGAGTTTAATTTGCAGTCTTAAATGAAACGATATTCTTAAAGTGTTTAAACACTTCTTTCGTTATTAACATTAAACATACGTTAAACATACTAATACACTAAAGAATGTATAAGTGTTGTGCAAAATATTGTGCATTTTCCGAAATTATAGTGCATTTTAACATGTAATTTAATGAAATACATTGTTATCGGTTAAAATTAATTTGGGAATTATAAAAGGGAACCAGCAAAATAAGTAACGTCGGGTGGGGGAGGACGTCCTATTGGAATTGGAGAAACAAGACGACATTGAAATTTGAGGGAATTATTCAGAGGTTCTGGAGGCTAAATGGGGTTTAAGGACTAAATGGGTTTTAAGGACTGTAACTCCGAAGAATCGGAGTTACAGTCCTGCCGAATGTGCGAAACCAGCGACTTGGCAGGACTTGGAAATTAGATAGAAAAAGGGGGATTATAAGAAGCAATCAACTCCCACAGCTAAGATGTTGAACTTCTGGCCAGTTAGGTTCCTCACATCTAGGCAGGGGTTGTGGGTGACCTAGCTGCACCAAGCGATCTCCAGACAAATTTGGGGAGTGGTGGTAACATAAATATTTTTTTCTCATATGATGTATTAATACACGTATCCCTCCCCCGTTCCTTCCGTCATTATATCCCATTTATACAGTCCACATAATTTTAATGTAAATATTAATACCAGAATTACTGGTTGTGTTTATTAAATTTAAAGTTATTATTTATAGGTCCAGAGTAACTTGTGGGATTGTATGAGGGTAATGGGTGTCGCAGAGAGACATTCGTCTTGTGACTTAGTGTGTCTCAAAATATTCCTACATGCCTCAGAGTTGTAGCAATTGGCAAGAAATAGTTATCTTTGTTGCATTTATTAAATTACTGGAATGAATATAATGAGGCTCATGCAGGTAATTTAATCCTCCACAAGTATGTATAACATAGTTATGGAATGACAATGACGCTCATTTTTTTTTACCCTGGTTCATATGTTCTGGGATGATATGTGTTAATTACAGGTGAACATTTTCTTGTTTCAAGAATATATAGAAGCTTTTACTCAACAAACATCATTTGGCAATGACATGGGCTTTGAATATTTACGATAAAAATACAAAATGCCCATCATGACCTCAGTAGCGGGGCTTCAATTAAATGATAACAGTTTAAACAATTATACACTAAAATATGTCCCTCTCACACCCACTAGGAGGGTGAGTCATGTATTTTCTCTGATCAAACCTGATTACCTCCCATCCTCTATGAGTTCTATGAACCCTACGGGTTCAAGGATGTCTTATGAACGTAATATTTAAAAGTGTTAATCTCTCTATGCAACTTCACTGAAAGTTTGCATTAAACCATGTTTCGAACATTCAGAGTTCTTTCTTAGTATTCAGGTAGCTGCAGATTGAATTATCTAAGGCTTTTTAAGCACAATCGTCAGACATTAAACCTAATAAGCTACATTTCCCTCTGAAGGTTTGTGACCAAGACGGGAAGTGGCTGGATGCTGGACCCGCCCCAGGCACCATCCTCATACTGGCCGGAGACTTTCTCAAGTACTACTCAGACAACAAGGTGGTCGCTGCGGTGAGTTGCACTGGATATTGCTGAATAGCAGAGGAAGATGATTAGGATGAAAAAACACTCAAGTTGCAGAGAAAGTTTTTATTTGAACAAAGTTTCGTTGTGTTTAAAGCTATACACAGATCAGGCCAAAACGTTTTCCTCATAGAAGTCTGCTCTGAAACGAGTGTCTCATCCCCTATGTTATTGGCAGTGTTCCATCTGGATTCTAAATTGTTAATATTATAATCAAAAAGAAGCGCTAAGCCACAAGGGCTATACAGCGCTGCAGGGTAGGGAAGGAAGCGAGGGTATTGGGCGGCAGAATGGGGGAGGGATGATCAGTAGGTTACAGAAAACAGCGGGGCAGGGGATAGTACGGGGGTAGAGGGTAGCAAGAGACTGAGGTAGAAAGGGCTGAAGGTATCATCAGAGTTTGTGAAGTAAGTCAGTTGTTGTCAAAAAGTCAGTGAGAGAGTCCGGATGAAAGGTGAGTCCATCAGCGAGAAGGGAAGGTAAAGAGAGAGCAGCGGAGCGAAGACGACGTCGGAGGTAAATTCTGCGTGCTCGTTGATAAAGTGGGCAGTCCAACAGAATGTGGCTGACTGATAATGGAACCTGACAATTCTCACATGGAGGAGCAGGGCACCTCTCCATGAGATATCCATGAGTAAGACAAGTATAGCCAATGCGAAGACGGGAGTAGTCTCCCAACCTCGACACTGGTGACAAGAAGACGGCCAGTAACCTATACTCGGTTTAATAGATTGAAGTTTGTTACCGAGCAGAGTAGACCAACGTTGTTGGCAATGGCTGTGAAGGTGGGTAGCTATTGCAGCAAAATAGTCCGTAAATGGAACACCTCTATATGAAACTGATATGTCATGTACTGCTGACCGTGCAGCAGTGTCTGCCTGTTCATTGCCCTGTACGTCAACATGACCAGGGACCCAACAAAAAACAATATCTTTATATTTGATAGAGATGCGGCATAGCCAAAGTTGGATATGGAGGACTAAGGGGTGAGGTGTATCAAATTTCTGTATAGCCTGTAAAGCACTAAGGAAGTCTGAGACAACCACAAATGACGACACAGGCATAGATGCAATACGGTTAAGTGCTGCAAGAATGGCATACAGTTCAGCAGTAAAAATACTAGCCGAAGATAGTAAATGCCCTCGTCCGGAAACAATGCTGCGAATCCTACACCATCAGAAGACTTGGAGCCATCTGTGTACTCTGCAATGGCATGAGAATGAGAGTGGAAGTGGTCAAGAAAAAGAGAGCGGGAAGCTACCATAGACAGTTGGGCTTTCGAGCAAGGGAGTGAGAAAAAACAGACTCGAACAGCTGAGACTTCCCAGGGAGGTAGGGAAAAGTGAGATGCTACATGAACATAGAAAGGTGGTAATTGAAGAGAAGACAAGAGCAAATGTAGGCGAAGAGAGAAGGGACGGAGCAAACAGGAGTGGCGAACAAATAAAGAAGTCTACTAATATCGGTGACCATTCTATAAATGGAAGGATTGCGGAGATCATGAGAGCATACATAGTAGCGAAGGCAATGGACATCACGGCGATCGGATAAGGATGGAAGGTTCACTTCTGCATAGAGGCTCTCGACAGGGGAAGAGCGAAAAGCACCAAGGTATAAACATAATCCTTTGTGACGAATGGGGTTAAGGCTAGAGAGAGTAGCAGGAGAGGCCGCTGAATAGATCTGGTCACCATAATCAGGTTTCAATAAAATTAGGGTGGAATGTAGGCGAAGGAGAGTTCGACGATCAGCTCCCCATGAAAGATGAGCAAGGGTTTTAAGAAGGTTCAGCCGGTTGTGACAAGTTGCCTTCAGAGAGGTAATGTGAGGTTTCCAGGATAACCTACGGTCAAAGAGGAGGCCTAGAAACCTGACTGTATCACGTTCAGGGATACGGGAGCCATAGAGGTACAAAGGATGATCGGAGATGAGGAACGTCCAGTGAAAGTAATTTGGTGAGTTTTGGTACTGGAAATTTAAACCCATGTGTGGTGACCCAATTGGAAACACAGTTGACCGCATGCTGGAGAGAAACTGTAATGAGGTGACAGTCAGCGCCTGCACAGGCAATAGCGAAGTCATCAACATAGAGTGATAACCAAATATAGGATGGAAGAATAGAGGCCAAATCATTTATTGCAAGGAGAAAAAGTGTTGTGCTCAGAACACATCCCTGGGGGACACCTTCAGCTTGGATAAAGTCTGGGAAGAGCACATTATTAACCCGAACACGGAAATGTCTGTCAGTTAAAAAGTTCTTAAGAAAGGATGGTAGATTGCTTCGGAGGCCTAAGGAGTGGGCTTGGGCCAAAATATTATACCTCCAAGTTGTGTCATATGCCTTCTCAAGGTCAAAAAACATGGCAATAACTGAGTGGTTATTCGCAAAGGCATTACGAACATACGTATCCAAGCGTAGTAACGGGTGGAGACGAGTGGAGAGACTGTTGTGTGTCTCTAAATACCACACTAAATGTCTATTTACCAGGCGTTCCATCACTTTGCAAACTGCACTGGTAAGAGCAATGGGACGATAGTGGGAGGCTTAATGTCCTGTAGTGCCCGGTTTGCGGAAAGGGAGAACAACGGCAGATTTCCACAGCTGTGGAAGAATTCTTTGTGACCAAATAAGATTGAAAAGGCGTAATAGGACTGCAAGGCCTGACTGATGTAAATGTTGTAGCATACGAATATGAATGTCGTCGGGCCCAGCTGCCGATGATCGGCAATCTGAGAGTGTTGCCTCCAGTTCCTGAAGTGTAAAAGGCACATTATACTGTTCTTCTCTGAGAGAAGAAAAATCCAAGGGTGCTAACTCTCTGGCAGACTTTGAGGAAAGAAACGAGGGGCATAGATGGAGCCCCGGAGAAATATGGACCAGATGATTGCCAATTTCATTGGCAACATCTAGTGGGTTTGCTATATCAACACCAGCAACCCGCAGAACAGGAGCTGGGTCAGGAGAATATTTACCACTCAGTTTTTGTACTTTTTTCCAGACTGCACTCATAGAGGAAGCAGAGGTGATGGTGGAGACAATCTCGCCAGCAAGTGCATTTAGCGTCATGGATGACACAGCGAGCGATCGCACGCTTCTGCTTAAAATCAAGTAGTCTTTCCGTGGTTCTATTGTACCGGTACCTGCCTCACGCAGCTCGTTTCAAACGTACTGCACGAGCACAAGCAGGAGACCACCAAGGCACGCATTTCTGAGAATGCCTGCCCGAAGTTTGGGGTATAGAATGAGAAGCTGCGGTTAAAACAGAGGACGAGAAGAGGTGTAAAAGCTCATCAATGGAGGACGAAGAAGGAACCTCACTCAAAACTGTCGTGAGTAAAGGTTCCAATCTGCCTGATCAAATTGCCAGCGTGTGTTATGAAGAGGTGGTGAATGTGAAGGGGAAGTAAGAATGATTGGGAAATGATTGCTGTCATGTAAATCCAAGGTGAAGTCTAATGCGGCGGAGGAAGAGCAGACTGAAAGATCCATGGAAGAGAGAGTATGAGTACGGGGATCAAAATGGGTATGAGTACCTGTATTTAGAACATGGCATGGAGGGGGTGGGTAGCAAGAAAGCCTCTAACTGAATGCCACGGGAATCACAGTGAGACCCCCGCCAGAGGAAATGATGGGCATTCAAATCGCCAAGTAACAGAAGTGGTGGCGGTAATGACGAAACAAGAATGGCAATATCCGGATAGATAATGCCCAAGAAGGAGAGAGATACAAAAAACAGAGTGTATACCACCTATGCAAGTGGATACGGGCTGCTGTGTAATGCAGTGAAGTATGAACAAATAGCTGGTGGTATGGAATATAAGTGTGCAGAGGAAGGGCACTTTCATTAAAGGTCCCATCAGGGAAAGGATCTGAAGAATACAATAAATTATGGCCTGAGATGGGATAGATAACAGCAGAGTGTAATTTTGGTTCCTGTAAGCAAACACCAACAGGGGAAAACTGGGAGAGCAACATCTGAAGCTCACCCCGATTACCCCTGAGGCCACCTATATTCCACTGTAAATAGGCCATGATTGGCAATGATAAAGATACCTGAAATCCGCAGGTAAGGGTACCTACGGACTAGAGGGGTTAGAAAAGTCCACATGCGGTGGCAAAGGAAAACGTTCAAGCAGCGAAGGAATGGTGCACTGTGAAGAAAGGAGTTGCACAGATGGAGAAGAGGAAAGAGAAGGAACAGAGGGTGGATCAGTGCCCATTGATGGTTTGGTCTCTGCAATATATTCAGAGATTGATTCAAGTGTTTCAGAGCTCAGAGACGTCGTATGAGAGACAATATTGTAGATGGAAGGAGGAGGAGTTTGAGTAAAGATCGGAACTGTAATGGACTATACTAAGGTAGGGGGGAGGCGAAAGGGTGGAGGGAACTGGAGAAGTGTGGGAGGGGACAGAAGAGACAGAAACCTGGGAGGTGGCAGAAGAGGGAGAAACTTGGGAGGGGACAGGGAAGGAAGGCACAGTACGAGGAGGATGAACCTCCACACTTGTAACAGAGCCAGTGAAAGGGGAAGACCCAGGTACAGAGACCGTGAAGGTAAAATGTGGAGGTGGATGAAGGGAAGGAGGGGTTAAAGGAGATTTTTTGGACCTCTGAGAAGTAGAGGGACGATTGGGAGGGGGTGTCGTACGAGGTCTTGTCGATACCAGGGTTTGTGAGGGAGAACACGAAGAAGTTAGGACGGACTGAGGTGTTGAAGTAGGAACGTCTGAGGCCAGGACAGCAAAATAATTAGATACAGGAGTGACTATGGGACTGGCAACCGCAGAGGAGGCTGCAGAAGATGGGACCCCAGAAGTGGGGGGGCATTTTGAAATACGAAAATAAGAAACACAGGGTAGTTTCCCTTGGAGGCAGAGATGAAAAACTGCCATTGCATAAGGGAGACCTGCCTCTTTGAGGCAACGAATTTCTCGCTCATTTAAGTAGACCTGGCAACGGCGAGAGTATGAAGGGTGAGCCTCATGA